AAAAAAAAAAAAAAGTCTTTTACACCAACGATTATTTATAGTTAGTTTATTGTCACGCTTGTAAAATTAATTCATAACGATAACCTCATAAAATTTCATAAATGTATGGTAATAGTAATATATTAACCATATCATTCTACTATATGTTTTAACTAGTAGATATCATGTGCACATGCACAGATGTACATACAATATTAGTAAGTAATATTTGAGAATTTAATATTAAAATTCTTGATAATTAACATATTACATTTTTAAAAATTTGATCATTAGGAAAAATAAATTAACGATTTTATGTTACATAGGTGAAACTAAATGCTAAGCTAGAAATTATATATTATTATTATTATTATTATTAAAATACGATTGTTTAGAAGATTCTAAAATTGTTTAACAATGTTAAAAATAATTTACTAATTGTTTTTAAAGAAATATTTTTATGAGATACAAAAGAAAAAGATAATATTGATGTTAAAATACATAACTTGAAACAATTGTTTATATTATGTAATTTATATTTATTGTGAATTACTATTAGTTGGTATTAACAATAACTTTATATATTATAATAAAAACATACATAATTACACTCATTAAGATGTATTAATGTGAGAAGTAAAAAAAATATTAATGACAAATTTTGTAACTGAAAATGAAGGGAAAATTTTAGAGGTTTTATTAAATATTTTATTAAATGCCACATGCCAGCAATTATATATATATAGATTAAAAATATAAAAAGAAATAAATAATACTTTGAGACTCATTAAATTGCACATATTGGAGCCTCTCACCAAAAGAACATAATCTGATCATATGTCCACATGTGACTCATATTTCAACTTTGATCCACGAATAACTTCCTCTTTTTTATGTACACACAAAAAGAAGTGCAATTGGCGATGTGAAAAGGTTTTGCTATTAAATTAACTGTTGGCTCCACAGTAGAGTCAACTTTCTATATACAACCAATAAACATACAATATTATCTAATTACTTAAATAATATTAATATGGTAATTTTATTTATTGTATATAGAAGGTTGACTTCACTATAGAGTCAACTGTTGGCTTCATAGCAAAACCGATGAATGTAAACCTTTAGAAATAATGATTTCGTGATAATTATTAGGTACATAATGACATTAATTACAAAATAAGTGCACTTTTTACATTATGAAATACAACTGTAACACAATCAGATTTCTATTATGTGTAATTAATATTGAAGGAAAATAGGAATCTTCTAGTCATATTATACGTTTCATAATAGAGCCACCTAAGCATAATTTTTAAACTCGGCACGGTAATCGACTCGGGCAGGTTACCGGGTCACCGGTTCAACCGCCGGGTCATCGAGTCAATTGCTAAACCTGATAATTAATTTTAAAAATTATAAAATTATATATAGAGTATTTTGTGATATATAAATATACATAAAAATAACAAATTTAAATGTTTTGTATGTAAAATTTGTAGATTAAAGTGGTAATAATATGTATATATTTACCATATAAATATATATACATAATTTTATTTTTTAAAAAGAAAAAGAATATTAAAAAACAAAAAAAAATTAAAAAAATACATATAGGGACCGGGTTGACCCAGTCGGGTCAATGCCTCGGGTCGACCGGGTCAAGGTCGGGTCGGCTGGGTTTTGACCGGGTTTGATCGGGTCTGTTGTTGCCCGGTTCAATTAGCCCATCCGGACCGGTTCCGACTCCGAGTCGGCCGGGTGCCGGGTCTACCCGCCGAGCCGGCCCGGGTCACAAAACGCTGCACCTGAGACATGATTCGATGTGTATTATTCGAAAATCAATAAAACACAAATATTAATAAATTTTCTTTTTTTGGTACCCAAAATTTTGATTTAATAAATTTTAATGAGTTAATCAGATATTAAATAATATTAATTAAAATAATTAGAGTTACCTTCATCTACGGTCATATGGTCGCCACCTGCCGTTGCCGGCAACCTTCTTCCACCACTTGCTACGTTTACTTTTGTGCGGGATTTCATATAACATATATCATTTTGAACATCTCGACTTGGTTTTTCAATAACATGTTTAATTTCATTATATGATATCTCATACTTCGTTAAATAATTATTAGTTTTTTTTAAAAAAAAAACATCAAATAATCACGCATTAAATTTTTTCAAAATTTCTCCAAAGATTCGGGAGGAGCTGGACGGGGTCATTCGACAAGAAGAACTTCTACTGCTCCAAAAAGCCACGAGGGATTGGACATTTTTAGGAGATCGGAATACGGCTTATTTCCACCGACAGTTAAAGTATCGCCGACGCCGAAACAAAATTATTGAGTTGAAGGATGAGGAGGATAATTTAATTTCGGATCCTAACTCACCGCAAGCGTTGGCTATGGAATTCTTCGAGAGCATATATACAGCAGGACCGACGCCCGAGCGTATTAAAGTGCCTGGTAGTCTCTTCCCAGCACTTGACCCAATCAAGAAGGTGGCCCTGGACGTAAATATTACAGATGAGGAAGTCTTTGCAGCACTGCAATCGATGGGCTCCTGAAAGCCCCCGGTAAGGATGGTTTGCACGCCCTCTTTTTTCAGCAAAATTGGGGGGTGGTTGGTCCGGCAGTTCGTGGGCTTATCCGACAGATGTGGGACGAAGGTGTGGTGCCGGCTAAGGTAAACCAGACCTTACTTGTTCTAATTCCTAAAATTGACCACGCATCAACCATAAAGCAATTCAGGCCGATCAGTTTATTGAATGTTATATATAAGTTATTCACTAAAGTGTTAGTGAATCGTATGAAGAGCTTGCTTCCCGGATTGATTCATCCCGCTCAAGCGAGTTTTGTACCGGGACGTTAGATCACTGACAACATCATCGTGGCCCAAGAACTCCTCCACTCAATGCGCATCCAACGGGGCCGAAAAGGATTTATGGTTATTAAAGTTGACCTCAAGGAAGCATACGACTTTCTACGGTGGGACTTTATTCAAGAAACTTTGACCTTAGCGGGACTTCCGGAAAGATTTGCACGAGCTCTAATGGCATGTGTTAGCTCGGCCTCAATGAACATCTTATGGAATGACTTGATTTGTGACGAATTTAGGCCTTCTCGAGGAGTCCGTCAAGGAGACCCGATCTCCCCTTACTTGTTTGTCCTTTGTATGGAACGGTTGGCATAGGCTATTTGCGCATCGGTTGAAGGCTTGGGTTGGAAACCTATGACTGTAGGTCGATGAGCCGTCAAGATCCCTTTCTTGATGTTTGCCGA